AAAAAAAAAAAAAAAAAAAAATGGCTTGAGGGAACAGGAAATGGTGAGTGGTTTGGTGTGTTTTGGGTGGTGACTGGGTGGAGCTGGGGGGAGGATGCCTTCTGTGGTTTGAACTTCCGGCTGATACCAAAGGAAGCACCAGGCTTTTCTCTCAGCTTGGGCAGGTGGGCAGAACAGATGTGGTGGTGAGGCTTAAAAGGTGTCAGTCATCAGCCACCAAAAAATGGATACTCTTTAGTAATACACTGAATATGTAGTCTTGAAACTCCTGATTTCTTGGTTGGGAAAGACAAACTTTTCTTCATGCTAATTTGTTACATTCCTTTTCCTTCTGTACACCTAGATTCCATTGTATGATGTGCTTGTTGATATGCTTATAGAATACTATTTAGATAAATTGCCTTAAGATATTTTTATGCTAGCTTAATGAAGATGTTTGGAAATGTTTATTAGATCATAAATGTTACTAAACAATTTTATTAGAACAATTTGCCAGAGGATTTTAAAATGTGAATTTCAAAGTATGGTCTTGAACAATTCATTCCATGGCTCATTTTCAACTGTAGTAAAACTTCTTTTTTTTATACAATTTTCCCTTGCCATTATCTTTTCTTTCCACACGTTGTGACCCAGATTGTATGTTTCATTTACATTTTTTTCCCAGTTTACACCAAGGGATACATAAGTCAGTGGGTTGTTGGGAGACTCTTGTGACGTGAAAAATGCATATGAGATGGTGACAGGTACAAAGTAGGTGCTAAATCTGAAGAGTTCCTTCAGGTCTTGAGTGAAATAACTTGAAACATCTTAACTGTAGTAGTTGGCTGTGGTCTGGTGCTTGGAAATCAAGTGTGTGGAGGTTAACAAGCACACAGTGAAGTAAATGAAAAATAATGATGAATAAGATAGAAAGTCCCCGCGATTCCAACCCCAGTGTCTGACAAGGAGATGATCTGCATTGCCAGTTGCCTGGAGGCCATTCTGCCATTTCCCAGTGACTGATTCTTGTCTTCAGAGCCACAGGTCCCTGCACTGGAATGTGGGCTCATATTTCTTTTACTTTTTCTTTTCTAAGCAATCATACATGGATTGTTTTTAAGTAGGTTTCATGCCCAGCTCAGAGCCCAATGGACGGCTTCAACTCCTGACCTTGAAATCAAGACCTGAGCTGAGGTCAAAAGTCAGACACCTAACCAACTGAGCCACCCAGGCACCCCGGTATTGTACTTTTAATTTCAGGTTCAAGGTGTAAATTGCTAGTATATAGAAATGCAGTGGATTTTTGCATGCTTCTGTGTTCTGGCACTTTGTAAATTTTCGTTCTTCTAGAAATTTTTGTACGTTCCTTTGTATTTTCTATACATACCACTTCAAAAATATTCCTGTTGATGCTGTGACAAATTACCACAGCCTGAATGACTTTAACAAATCTATTCTCTTACAGTTCTGGAGGCGAAATGTGTAAAATGGATCCATAGCGCCGTGCTCCGTCTGGATATGCCAGGTCAGATTTTGTTTCCTTACCTTCCCATGTCTGGAGGCCACTTATATCCTCTGCCTCATGGTGGTCCCCTTCCTCCCTCTTTGAAGCCAGCAGGATAGCATCTTCAAACGTGTTTACCTCTGTCATCACTTCACCAACCTTTACATAAGTAACTCTACCTGCATCCTTCTTATAAGTC